CTCGTGGTGAGTCCCAATTTCCATTTCAACACTGAGCTGGCTTGGTGTTGGCATGATTCTGACTGTCACTGTCATCAAACAACACAAACCATGTCCCCAGTCTCTCTGAAAGGGAGTGAGGACCCTTTCTCCACTGGCCAGGCCAGAGACCCAAGAGTCATCCAGCGCCTCTCCCGCTATTCCCCCAGCAGCCAGTCCTTTGGTCCTCTGTCTGCAGCCTGACCTCCACCGTCTCACAGACCCACCCCTGTGAGCACCACCTTCTTCTCCATCACAGGTATCCCAGCCGCCAGCCTGGCTTCCGCGGCAGGAGTGATCACATCAATTCCCTAAGGAAACCAGCTTCCAACTGGTTTTAGGAAACAGTCCAAGTCCTTTCCAGATACTCAGCTTGGTTCCGGCCCACCTCCCAAGCCTCCTGCCTCAGGCGTCCCCACCACAAGCCACCCTTCCCACTCCTCAGCCTGACGGAGCACACGCACCTCCAGGTCTGCACCTAGGGCGGATCCTTCAGGAGAGATCTAAAGACGGCTCCAGAGCCACCCTCCCCATGGTCAGCCAGGACACCATGTTGTCTGGTTCTGGCCATCACATTGCCTTGCAACTGCTCACGCTCTGAGCTTACTCTGAAGCCTATCAAGGCCCCAACTGCCCTCTCACTACTAACCCACCAGCATGATGCCCATCTTCCCTCCTCACTACTAACCCACCAGCATGATGCCCATGTGCTTTCCTCAAAACTAATCCACCAAGATGATGCCCATCTTCCCTCCTCACTCCTAATCCACCAACATGATGCACTTCTGCCTTCCTAACTAGTAACCCACCAGCATGATGCCCACGTGCCTTCCTCACTACCAACCCACCAGCATGATGCCCACCTGCCTTCCTCACTACTAACCCACCAGCATGATGCCCTTCTGCCTTCCTCACTACTAACCCACCAGCATGATGCCCTTCTGCCCTCCTCACTACTAACCCACCAGCATGATGCCCTTCTGCCTTCCTCACTACTAACCCACGAGCATGATGCCCATCTTCCCTCCTCACTACTAACCCACCAGCATGATGCCCTTCTGCCTTCCTCACTACTAACCCACCTGCCTGATGCCCATGTGCCTTCCTCACTACTAACCCACCAGCATGATGCCCTTCTGCCTTCCTCACTACTAACCCACCTGCCTGATGCCCATGTGCCTTCCTCACTACTAACCCACCAGTATGATGCCCGGCACATCACCTTTTTGATGAAAGAATCTGATGTTAATTATTATTGCCCAAAGGTAAGAGCCATAAGTTTGTGATTAGAGTCATTTCTTAGAGTTCCAAACACTCTCACTTAAAGGAGGCTTTAAGTAATAGCAGAGAGTTAGAACAATTCACCTGCAGATTCTCCTTCCCCACACACTAGGAAGCTGTCTTCACATCCTGCAGGATAACCCAGGGGAGCACCAGGAGAGTTCTGTCTTGGTTTTGGAATTCTGACTAAATACTTGGAGCAATTACATGGTGTCAGGAAACATGAACCAAACTCATGTTGCTGTTTATCACTAACCAAAATGATCTTTTTATAAATGAGCCCACTTGCAAGTGGTGGGCACCAATTTGATGCACATAGCTCCACTAACTTGATACCATGAGACAGAGAAAGCAAGGAGAATTCCTAAACAGAGAGTTAAAAATGAGTACCTGAACAGGTAAATTGGGGGAGAAAGAGAGAAGAATAGTTTTGAAATAAATTAATTAATTAGTAAGTAAAAATTCTGAAAATTCCCAAAAGACAAATCACACTATCTATACTGCATTATTTATATACACACATACACAGGTTTAGATAGACTAATAAATGATGAAAGACAGTGAACCAATATTATTGAAAAAATAATTAAAATACAAATAATACAAGGAATAGCAATCTGATAAGTACAGAGGAGGAAGAGAAAGCCTGTTAATCCTATTTTCATTTACTGTTTGACTAAATTAAGTATCAGCCAATTGAGTGTTCATGAAAAACTACTTTTATATTTGCAAAAGCCATACTAAAAAGGCTTTTCTATAATAAATATATATACAGATGGTCCCCAGTTTGTATGATTCAACTTAGAGCTTTCAGACTTTACCGTGGTATGAAAGCAAGACACGTGCAATAGAAATCACACCTCAACTTTCAAAGTTTGATCTTCACCAAACCAGTGACGTGCCGGCACAAAACCCTCTGACACTGCTGGGCTGAGGTAGGAAGCTGCAGCCCCCACCAGCCAGGCAGCGGCCCAGGGAACAGCTGGGACTCCACAGTGCTCTTCAGGGCTGAGCTGCCCTAGGGTTTCCCTGGGCAGTTAGTGCATCTCCACTTGGGATGTTTTCACCTGAGTGATGGGTGTGCTAGGTAGTGACCCTGTTGAGGAATACATACACACACAGTCTTAAAGGATATATAATTATATACTTACACACACACACACAGACACATTCGTTCCTCTTAGTTGAGATTTCAAATTAGTTTTCTAAATCCAATGTTTAAAAACCATCTGCGAAAGATCCCATACTAGTTAATAAAATGTTTATGGAAGTTGGGTTATCAGCTCACTTCCAGGAAAAGACTGTAAGTGTGGAATTTTATTATTTAGAATGTAATCTACAAAAAGAAACTTGGGTCATGTCAGATCACCTGTTCCATAAAATTTTCTAAAACTTGGTGTCCCGCTTTTATAACGTTGTATAATCGGAATTAGCAAAGCCAGGCAGGAAGGTTTGTAAATCTTTGAAATTCAAAAATACTTGCTCTTAAAAGTGGAGGGAGAGAAACACCAAACCACATTGATTGCTGTTTCAAATTTCCTAGAGAGAAAAGTCCCAGGTTAAATATTAGACACTGCAAATACACCAAGTCGGTTTGGTTGTCTCTTCCCCACAACCACTCACCACTTAGAGTTCTGCCTCCAGCTAACAGGTGGGCTAAAATCAATCTTATTTCAACAAACCAACCATCCAAACTATGTAATCACAGGACAACATCAGAGCTGGATCTGGCTGGCTGCTTATAAAGGAGTCTTTCACTGATGTGTGGGAATGTTCCCTGTTGACCAAGCCAGACACCAAGGCACACCACCTGCACACTTCTTGCTGAAATCAACTAAATGCAAATAAATAGTCCTACCTTTAAAAAAAAATGCCCTTACCGCTCTGTGTTGGGTTCACTCATTTGTCGTATGCATGGAGGAGACACTATTAGCCTGCTACTTTGCAGACATGAGTCTGTTTAGTCATTTTCCTACCGTGGCGACAGACCTGAGCTACATCACATGAACACCCTCTCACAAGCTGTAACCAGCACCACCATGAGAGACCAGCTGCTGTTGGCAGCCCAATCTGGGGCCAGGGATCAGGTAGACCTCAGAGGCTCCAGGCATCTAGGCCCAAGGCCTCAGCCTCCTTAGTATGGTGTTGCCCCCAGGTGGCCCCAACAAGGAAGCCCAAGGATTTATTGCTTCCATAATTACCCATAATTCAAAAGCACTCCCCAGCAAGTCAGACATTTAGGTTTACACACAGAGAATTTCTTTTAAATTAAGGAGAAATAAAATTTTAACCATCTAACATGACAAGTTTCTATATCCTAATTTAAAAAATAATAAATGGACCATCACTGACCACTTCGTATGATTATTTCTGAGTTTTGCTTCCCTTGTTCCTTGAGCTCACTGCTCTTCAGGTTTGTTTGCTGCCCACCCCCCAGCATACAATTTGTGGGGGAAAATACTGAAACATGTCTTTGGGGGGCTGCTGTGTCTATATGGGGTGAGAAGCTACCTTCACTTCTACATATAAGATCGCACAGTCATGATGTTGCTTCAGATTCTGTTGCTTTTTTAAAGACTCTGACCAGAAGTGCCAGAAAACCACAGCATCACACATTCATACACATGAAAGAACTTTGAATCCTGAGGAACCACTGCAGGAGGTACTGACAGGACGGTTGCTGTTCCCTCCAGAAGTTTCCTACCTCCCACTGTCTCTCCATGAAGGACCAAACCCCCTGGGTCTACCAGAAGGTCCCGGTGACAACCTCACCCCTGAAACCTTAGGTCATAGAACATTTTGAAACTTGAAGCAATTCATCTCCAGAATCTTGGCCTACAACCGAAATGTGCAAAGGGGAAGAATGTACTTATCAAAAATAGATCCGGGCTGGGGCTGGGGCTCAGTGGTAGAGTGCTTGCCTAGCATGTGTGAGGCACTGGGTTCCATCCTCAGCACCACGTAAAAATAGATAAATAAAATTAAAAAATAATTTGGAAATATTTCTTCCTCTTTCATTTAAAAAAATAGATAAAAGGGAACACTATACTTTCTTTCAATAAACATTAAATTGTCCTCTCCAATTTAAAAACATGTTTTTTTCTTTCCATGTGACCTAAATTCTTCAACCTCTGCTCTATACCATAATTTTCTTTTCCCCTTCTATACCCAGCTATGATGGCAAAGAATCAATGCACATAGTCTTGTTAAGTATTGAAGCCCCTTATTAATTGAGCCTAAAGAAATCATTTTATTCCCTGCAGTTAAAAATACCTGGTATTAGTTTCTAATTTTCTTATTCTTTCCCATGCAGCTTAGCAAAAATCTCTTTCCAGAGTCCTTTTACAACAGTTTTCTTGATGTAATTCCGATTGGCACATAGTAAATGTCTTTTGACATCCCTGCGGCTAACATCTAGCCACTGTCTGGCATTCAGCAGCATTCTGATGCACATTCCTGAGAAAATGTGAAATTTTACACGAGTAGCATTCAAAGAGTTTGAGCACAGTTTACTGGTCTCCCAGGGCTGCATGTTGCTCTTTATTTAGTCACATTTTCCTGCTCTTTCTACCATACAGAAATAATCATACCTCTGTCAAGAACAGTTCCTCTGACTTTTCCCAGAAGACTCAATAAGCTCAAATCTAACAGTTATCCTAACATGCAAATCTAAATACTGAGATTCTATTCCGGCTGTGTTTGTGGTAGTAAGCAGTGCGGCGATGGCGACCGGCGGCAGTGATCCCCGGGCTGGTGACGTGGAAGAGGATGCCTCACAGCTTATCTTTCCCAAAGAGTTTGAAACAGCAGAGACTCTTCTAAATTCAGAAGTTCATATGCTTCTGGAGCATCGAAAACAACAAAATGAGAGTGCAGAGGATGAGCAGGAACTCTCAGGAGTCTTCATGAAAACTTTAAACTACACTTCCCGTTTCAGTCATTTCAAAAATAGAGAGACCACTGCAAGTGTCTGTAGCTTGCTGCTCCAGAAAAAGCTACATAAGTTTGAGTTGGCTTGTTTGGCCAACCTTTGCCCAGAGACTGCTGAGGAGTCCAAGGCTCTGATTCCAAGCCTGGAGGGGCGATTTGAAGATGAGGAACTGCAGCAGATTCTTGATGATATCCAGACAAAGCGCAGTTTCCAGTATTAATCTCCAAACTTCACTCAGCTTCTTGGGGGACTCATGTCCCCAGCACACCACCACCCTCTCAGGGGCTGGGGCTGGGCCTGCCTTGCAGAAGCTATTGCAAAAGACATTTGGAATTCTTGAAGAAGACAGTCCATCTCGGTGTGGGTTTAGGTTGCTGTTTCCAATGTGACTGTTAGACCATAATGACCATATAATTTTAGAGCAGCCTTGCAGTGACTGCCTAAACATGCTGCTGGGAAGGGTGAGGTGGGGTATTATATAAGCCATGCTGTTGACTATCTCATACTGTGGATTTTGGACCCCACATTTATTTTTTATTCATAACATTTCATATTTTAATTTCAAAGTGTTTGTAGTTTTTGACTAAAGTAGAACATAGAAAACTTTTATAGGGAAAGAATAGTCTTACCTAGGTGCAAAAGAAAGAATGAAGCCAGACCAATGTCAACATTTCAAATTATTAAAGAAAGGGTGAGAGAAGCTGGGTGTGGTGGTGCACACCAGAAGGATCGCGAGTTCAAAGCCAGCCTCAGCAATGGTGAGGCGCTAAGGAACTCAGTGAGACCGTGTCTCTAAATAAAATACAAAATAGGGCTGGGGATGTGGCTTAGTGGTTGAGGGCTCCTGAGCTCAATCCCTGGTACAACCCCCCCACCCCCACCCCCAAAAAAAATAAATAAATAAAAAAGAGGGAGTGCTAATAAAAAAAAATTACTGAGATTCTAGCATGTGCTCAGGTATTTAAATTGCCATCAACTGAAAGGTACAGTTTTGCAGAGCTTATAATCTTAAATTATAATCTTACAACATATTTCTCATCTTTCCCCTTCTGAATTTCTCAATCCTGTGCAGTATAAGAACAATACGCTCTTTTCCGGTTAGTAAGTGTTGCTTTTGAAGTTGCCAAAGAACTGTCTTTGAGTGGGAACTCAAATGAAATGTTACACCGAAAACAGTTTGACACTTAATTAGGTGGCATCTTATTTATTTGTAATGGTCAAGTAATATCATATATTTATTGGGTACAATGTGATGCTTTGATGTATGTGTGAATTGTAGAACAATGGCATCAACAAATTAACATACTCATCACCTCACTAGCTTATATTTTGTGATTTTTAAATTTTATTCTCTCACCAATGTTCAAATATGCAATCATTGTTATTAATTAAAGTCAGCATGCTATGCAATAGTTCTCCAGGACTTTTCCCTCTTGTCCGAGACTTTGTCTCTGTAACCAGTTTCCTCCCATTTCCCACCCATGCCACCCCCATTCCCCTGTAACGACCATTCTACTCTCTATTTCTTCTATTAGTTCAGCTTTTCCAAATCCACACACAAGTGAGTTCATGCTGTTCAGTCACTGAAAAAGGAGATTCTAGGTGGGGGTGTAGCTCAGTGGTGGAGCACTTGCCTAACATGCTTGAGGTCCTGGGTTCCATCCCCAGTACCATTTTTAAAAAAAAAAAAGAGAGAGAAAGAAAGAAAATTCTGTAACTTTTAATAATATGTATGAACCTAAAAGACATTAAGCACAGGAAGACAAATAAATGGTGTTTTTAAATGTATGCATTTAATTAGTAATTTAACTATTTAATTAGATTTTTCTTTAAAGTTTTATAATTATTTTTAAGTGTTTATTAAATTTATCTTCTTGCTTACAAGAGCTTGTACTATAAATAAAAATAATACATGCTCTAAAATGCATACCTATCAATTTCACAGAGAGTAACCAAAATCATATTTAAATGCCAAAGAGAAGGTGAAAGATAGTTGGAACAAATGTTAATGGCCCCACTAAAATCACCGACCTTTCAGATGTTGATCATGGTGGTCAGCTTCTTAGCTTTGGACCATAGTGATCAGGGTTATAGGCTTGTGACCATAGCTGATCAGAGATATTAGTGGATGTCTTTCATTAGACTAACATCTTCCATGTTGGCATAAGGACTCCCTCACTCTTACCCAAACGTATATACACAGCTCAATAGAGAGGGAAAGGTAAAACGAGAAAGTGTAGAAGAAAACGAAACACATCCAAGGCACATGTATACAAAGGTGCAGCTCAGGGTTGGGGACAATGCTTCTCTCCCAGCAGCTGTGTTGCAGAGGTGACAGGAGGTGGCATAAAGTAAAAGACGGGGGAGGCTTCAATCACCCTCGGAAGGGTTTACAAAAGTGGGTTCCCTTGTGTCTTTGGTTCTTCAGTAACTAGTAGCCCTGAGTCTGACGTGAGATATAAGTCTTTCCTCAGGTTAAGGATAGAACGATCCAGGAACTTAACTCTTCAGTGGGTCCTCTGTGAGTGCCCATGGCCCTGGGGATCCAAAGCCGACTGACAATCAGGAAGGTAAACCACCCGGTTCCACGCTCTCCTGAAGCGCAGTTAGTGATTCACTCTGTTTGATGTAGAATCCCGCTCCCAGCCCAAGAACTGTCAATAGTGAACTTCATGTCATTAGAGATCACAACTAATGATTAAGCCGCAAGGTGAAGTTTTAATAATGATAGCAAAACCTGAAGGGCACTTATCCGAGAGTGACCTCAACTACAACTCAAATTCCACACACTTTCCCAGAGAGAAGTTTGGCAGGTTCAAACACTCTTCCCTTCTCTCCTCCTCTCCATGGTACTCCAGAATTTTTCCATCCCGTTTAAAAGGAATAAAGTTCATCCAAGTGGTCCATGAATGAGACCTGAGACTGTGTGTCCAGGGGATCTGGTAAGAAGCCCACCCCACGAGGGGCTTCCACTCCCAGGTGGACTTCCCCTGGGGTCTGGCTTCAGAGTTTAATTGGGGCTTCTGTTGACATTTTAAAGCCACACTTCTCCAAAACAGAGAAGGCAGAGCTGTTCATGGCTAGGTCACTTTGACTAGGGGATCCTGCCCTGTGCTGTCTTCTGGCTGGACCTCTCACCTGTCCCACCCTTGGCACCTCAGCCAGCACAGAAGGAAGAGCAGACACAGGAGGGGAAACCCAAACAGACCCTTGGTGTTTATAATAGGGAAGTGGGGAAAGGGGAGAAATGATCTCTATTGCTGACCATAAGAAAGTGGATTGGCAAGATTCAAGGGAAGAAATGAAGCTCTAAACTGATCCCGCATTAGAACATCAGTGGGGACGTGGAGGGGGAGGGGAAGCAGCGCCACACCTGGAGCCTGAATGGGCTTACAGGCCACAGTGGTTTTTAAGAAGGGAAGTCCAATGCTAAGGTCTGAGTTGTCGGCACTTCTCTGTGACCTGCAAAACCCACTCTGTGTCTACAAACCACTGGTAAATTTCACCGCACACAAACTTCATGGGTGGGTATTGCATGTGGCGTCAGGGAAAGGATTTTACCTCTGGTTGATGGGGTACTGAACAAGACAGCCCAGAAACTCAACAACACTTTAGAAGCAGATGCTCAGAAGAGATGAGTGTGAGGTGTTAAATTCTGCAGGAATTCATGGAATCTTGGGAAGAATGTTGGAAATTCCAAAGTCTAAGCAAGCCTACTGATCCTGATTCTAAGAGAGGGACCACCCCAGCTGTTGTTCAGACTACAGTTACAGTAGTGCAGCAAGGGGCACCACTCAGAGAAACCACAGGCTGACATGGAGAATGGGGAGGAAGGGTGTCTCCTAGATGCTCATTGGCCAGCTCTGAGGGGAACTTAAGGAAGCAGAGGTCAGTTCTGGGTTGCCGGAAGTAACATCATGTGCTTCCTTTGGGTTAGTGGAAGAGGTCCAGCTCTGCTTTGCTCTGTCCCATGACAGGGTCACAAAGGAAGACTGGCTGTCCTTACCGGGTCTCTTCAAAGTCAATTCATGGAAGAGAAGAGCAATGATATGAATGTCCAGATGACGAGTGCATCCTGGCTACCTGGACCTGCAGTCAGAAAGCAGAAACCCTCCTAAGTTACTAACTAACCAGCAACCAGAATGTGCCATGGACATGGGTGAGGGACTCCGGGAGAGGTGAGGAGGGCTGGCTCCCAGTGCACATGGGGACTTCCCAGCCAGAAGGCTCCAGCTCCAAGCCACATATTCTGCATCACCCTGTAGAAATGCAAAGACTTTCCATAGAAAATGGACTGGGAATTGTTCAAATGAACATGCTTAAAGCAGTTGGGGGAACTGGACTAGGTAGACTGGAGTGGGAGCTTTTATTATGCAGGTCCATCACAGAAAACTCAAACTGCATGAAATAACCTCCGATTTGAGGGGAAAGCCCCCACTTTTGTGAATAAGGAACTTTTCTCATCCTTCATAAAGACACATCTTTGACTAAATATTTATTCTGCGACTACTGCACTGAAACTTCCCCTTGAAACAACTAAACCGCCCAATTCTGGTTCAACATTAATGCTCTGATTCCCTCCCCTTAGGAGCTGTCATATTCCAAAGAATATCAGTCGTGAACGGTACTTAAGCTGTGCAATCTTTTCTCGGTAAACCCTACTGCTGGAAGGAAATCCCCACTTAGATCAACAAAACAGAATCTGTAACTCTTGTGAAAGGCCAGTGTCCCACCAAGTCTGTTCTTAAAGTCTTTAGCATAAACAGTTGTGATCAAAATACTTGACAAGATCAGCTTAGAGGAGGAAAAGCTTATATTGGCTCATGGTTTCAGAGGCTCACTCCACGTCAGTCCGCTCCCTTGCTCTAGGCCTGAGGTGAGGCAGAGCACCATGGCAGAGGGGCAAGGTGGAGGGAGCTGAAAGCAGAGAGAGGAGGAGCCGGGGACAAGACATAATCCCAAGGGCACACCCCCAGAGACCACCTCCTGTAGTCATTCCCCACCTACCTAAGTTTACCACCAGTTAGTTCACTGACATGATTCATCCACTAAATGGACTGATCCACTGACTAGGTACAGCTTTCATAATCTAATCATTTCACCTCTGAACACTCCTGCATTCTCACAGGAGCTTTGGGGTATACCTCATATCCAAACCATAACAATAGTCTTCTAACTTATAAACTCGTTGGATTCCAAAAGTTTGATTGTAAATCACTTATAGAAAAGAGAGAGGTACTTCCTCATGGTAAGAATCACACAATAGGTAAGTCCTCAGGGCACCTACAAATCCTTTTTCTCTTGTTCTCCACCCAACATAGCACATAGCTATCCCCCTTATCTGCAGAGGATATGTTCCAAAAAAAACCCATGGATTCCTAAAACCTTAGATAGTACCAAATCCTATTTATACTATTTTTTTCTTATACATACAAATCTATGATGAAATTTAGTTTATAAATTAAGCACTGTAAGAGATTAGCGACAACAAAGAAAAATGGAACAGTTATAACAATGTACTATAATAAAAGTTATGTGGCTTTCAGTCTTTAACTTTACATAAAGCACTCTGTGACTTCTCTTTGGTATATCCTAATTGCCAAAATCACTACTACTGGGCTAAGAGGCATTATTAAGTAAAACAAGGATCACTTGTATACAGCATTGCAATATTGACAGAATCCATCTGATAACTGAGACAGATTCCAATGATTAACGAGCAGGTAATATATACAGCTTGGATACACTGGACAAAGGGATGATTCATGTCCCAAGTGAGATGGAGCAGAATTTCATCATGCCACTCAGCATAATCCACAATTTAAAACTTATTGTTTATTTCTGAAATTTTCAATTTAACATTTCTGAAACAACATTGACCTTGGGCAACTGAAACCACAGAAAGTGAAATTGCAGACAAGGCAGGATTACTAGAGAACCAATAGTTGAAGTGATATTCCGATGGAAAAGGGGCTTTCACAGTTCCCTTCTGGGAAGCTGGAAACAAAACCTCCCTTCCTGGCAAGGAAAGTAGAGGCTGGTCCTGCTCGGAGCAGGCTTCAGGGTGAAGACCATAGTATGGACTTTGGGGAGGAGGGTCTTCTGCTGACAAGCAAGATGGGGAATGAGAGTGGAGGGACGCAAACACGCTGCTTGTCTAGACTGGAAGGAAAGGAGGAGACTCGTGGGAACGCTGGGCTTGGGTGGCTGGGGCTGAGGAGAATGGACTGCAGCTTCTCAGCACCTCTTCCCCTCTCCTGTGCATTCCCAAATCCCTTCTACCTCTTAATGCCTACTGGAAAGCTTCGCGGGGAAGGACTAAGAAGGAATAAAGGCTATAGCAGTGTGGAAGGGAAAGGAGGAGGAGGGCCTCACCAGTAAGGAACAGCAGGGAAGAGACACAGGCTTTCAAGGGGGATAAAGGGTGTGCTTTTCCCACATGAGGGGTGCAGTCACAAATCAGAGCCATGTGTGGGGTTCAAGCATAGGCCCAGAGTAAAGAGAAACAACAATTATTGTCCCCAAGGTAGAAGAACAATTAGCAAATCAAATTAAACAGAGTCCTTGCCAATGTTTCTGTTATTAAAGCTAAAATTTTTAAAAGCATTTCCAACAAAGGGGTGGCACCCCTGCTGCACCAGGCCCAGTGTCTTAGTCAGAGACGGGAGACCAGAGTGAACACACTAGCTCATGGCTAGAAGTCCACCATCTCCAGCCGTCCTGCAAAACTCCAGCCCGTGGCCAAGTGGCCTGCAGCAACAGGCGGCCTCCCGACAGCACCAAACCTGAGACTAACTCATTTATCTGTCCTTCATTTATGCTTGCTGCAGGTACTAACTGGTAGTCATTCTTTAGCTGTAATATAAGCCCAACCTGAAAAACCTGTGCCTATGTTAAGCTATAAAGTTTATCATTTTCATGAATAATTGATTTGATACACTTTGAAAAATCAAAACAACAAACTAAACTATTATTTTCCACAAGGCTGGAGAATAGCACCTCTTTCCCCAAAACATCTGAATGGTGGATTTAAGCCCCTGTCCTTCACGTACTGCATAATCAGAATTTCCTTCATGTGCCTGTTCTCTAGCTGTGTGGGGCAGGGGGGAGTAGAGGGGGTGAGGGTCTCTGGCTAAGCCACACTGTGTCTTGGCTGGCAGAGTCCCTCACAGCAGGAATGCTTGTTTCTTTGGGGCCCAGTGGGGAGAGTGACCACAGACTGGGCTGCTGGACAGAGTCCAGGCTGGGTCTGCCTACAGCCTCCCCTGTCCCGACACACTCATAGTTATCCGCCCTCAACTGTTTCTAAACTATTTTTCATCCACAAATGGAGGAATACATCCTGCCGAACCCACGGAAAATCCCGGCAGGTTTCAGAAGCTCGTGGAATGTGGTGGTTTGAATATCTTTTTGAATCTTCATGCAAGCTTCTCCCAGCCAGACTCCAGTGAACTTCAAGACAGGGGAAAAAGGGCAGGCGTCCTGGGTTCCCACACCATAGCAAAGCCAGCATGGGGTATCCAGTGTCCCCTCTGTCAGCCTCGGGGGCAGTCAGAGGGGTCCTGCCGGCTTCAAACACTGCACTGTCAGGAGCAAGCTCAGAATCCTCCCACATTGGATGGGAAAAGTGTCTATGGATTTCCACCAGGACGCATGTGCCTGGAAAATGACGGACGAGTTCCATCTAATCCTTCATGACTAAGATGCCTGTCAGTGTTGTAAATTCTGACAGCGTCCTAAAGAATTTTCTTTTCCCTAAAACAGATAATGTCCCATTTAAATACATTTGAGAACTTATCTTTTATAATTATAATGTCATCCGAATCTCTGAGACACATCCTAAGAAACAAACCCCCCAAAATTGTACTATTATTTATTTGAACTTACAAAATAGAATTTGTATTACCTCTGTATTAACAACTTCCATTGGTCTTTTCTTGATTTCTCCTATGTCCAAGTAACTGGGGGGGAAAAAAAACAAACAGTCAGGGTTGCTTTTATAGGTTTTAAGTCAGTTATGCAAATTTCAAGCATTATTAAAAAGTAAAGTAAGTTATAAGAAATGCATAGGCCTAAGGCAAAAATCAATAGGTGTTAGATCAGTAAGAACTGCTTTCAGCAACACCGCCAGAGCCAACACTTATCTACCTAGAACTTCAAGTTCAAATATTCCATTAGGGAATATTACCCCCTTAATAGCCGCTCACTATATGTACTATATTTCTAGTTCTAATATAATTTAATAAAGAATGGCTTATGTGTAAAGCTTCTTAGCAGTTCCATTAATCATGAACTTTAGGTCAAAGGAAGTACTGACTGTGTATATTAAAGTAACAGCTGGGTAAGGCGGAAAAACCATTTTCCCAGTGAAAGCACTTCATGATCCAGAAATGCTTGGTCATGTGGGAGGGTTTCAATCATGCAGCTTGAAACCAGAAGGGTGGACCAGTTAACCTCTGGAGACTCCTATCAATCCATTACTGTTTGCCACAAGTATTAACCCGTGATCATTCATTAGCTATTGAGTAAGCACAACCTGAAAACTTTGCATTTTTTTGAGGTTAAGCTATACATCCATTGCTATGACCTGGCTTCAGTTTTAAATGATTCCTAAACTGTGCCTTATACACAAAAGGTGCAAATAAACATTTTAATATAAAAAGCATAAATCTAGCATTGATCTCAGAGCCATAGATGTAGAGACAGACACTATTTCAACTACTGTAATTGCCAAATTACCAAAAAAAAAAAAAAGGAGTTCTATTAGAATTAACTTTGGCTATAGAAATGTTTTATCATGACTGCTGTTGTGCTGTTGTTTGCTTTTTTTGACAGTATACTTTACCTAACTGATACCTCTGTAAATTGTCATGTTTCTCTATTAAACATTAGTTACATAAGACAATATGAACACTCCCCCATCTTAGCAATAAAATGAGCCTTCTGTGAACATGCACGGACCTATTTCTAGGATAACAGCAAAATGCTCTACCATGTGCAGGAAAGTGGCCTCAAATCCACAAGATTAATGTGGTAGACTCAACTCCAGAAAGTAAAGTCCATGTTTTCCAGATTATGGGGACAATTTGGGGGAAAACCGTCTCTAGAATCCTCTGCTGTAAAATAAAGGCTTAATAACTACCAGAGGTTTAGATATGGTTTCAGAACTATTAGAAAAACTGAAGTAAAAAAAAATCCAGCAGTAATGTGGTCATTTCCATTTGAAAAATATTTTGCTGTCTTCCCCAGCATCATTTTGGATCTGAGTGAAAGCCCACACATCACCCTCAATACATTTTGAACTGTCTTTTGTTCTGCTAGTTGCTTCAGTTGTTACACAAACTTATAGTGCTAAGCTTCAAACAGATTCAGCATTTGGATCTTCTTGGCATCTATCATTATAACACAAATACTGTGACTTTGACACAGATAAACTAGTCATCTGTCAGCATGGAAAACTAACCCCAGTCCCTATTAACAAACCCAGTTGTTTCGTGTGAATTGAAAGCAAAAATAGCCAGCAAATCCCTTACATGCCCATTTAAAGTGATTGGGAGTGCAATTTCTATTTGGTCTGGAACTATGTCATTTTATCTTGTGAGTTGGTAGTGCCAAATCAACATAAGAAAATGTGAATTACTAAAATAAGTCTATAATTTTCAGCTGTTCCTAGATTCTGAGCCAGATTTCTATTTCCATGAAATTACTTTACATAAATTACTTTATATGAAGAAATGCCATAATCTATATAACACTTGGGTATTTACCAAACACATGCTCATCCACAGCATTCACTTTTACAACAACCCTGTAAGGCAGGAAAGGTTGTGTTCCTGTTCTGAATTAGGAAGCTGACTCCTAGGCCCAGGGACTTTCCTGAGGACACAGCTAAAGGACAGAAAAGTCTCAAGTCACCTGTTGAAAGCTCCAGATTTCTTTTATGCAGTTCCATTAGCCCTTTTCTACAAAGTTAGAGAAAGCATACTTAAGGGAGGTTTCACAGAAGGGAAAAATAAATCCAAGTGTATCCCTCACCTTCCACACAAAGAATGCCTGGTGTAACAGAAAACAGAACACCTATAACTCAGCTTGAACAAACTTAGGTAGGGAAGGATGGTATTACAGAATGTTAGTGATATTTGGAAACAGTTTTCTATACAGTTAAAAACAAAATTGAAAAATAGATTTATGATAAACATTTCTATTTATTGGTTGCTATCCTGGAGTCCAAGATGAACTTTAATTTAAACGTTCAATTTTAAAACCATGGACTATATAATTAGCATATGAACCAGCAATTTCACGCCTACATATATACTCAAGAGAAATAAAATCTCATAAGCAAATGTTCATAGAAGCATTATCCATAGTAGCCAAAAAAGTGAAACAACCCAAATATTCATCAACTGCTTAATGAGCAAGCAAATGTGCTACATGTGCAACATGGAACGTTATTCAAAAATAAAAAGAATGACATATTAATACATTCTACAACATGAATGAAACTTGGAAGCTCATGGTAAAAAAAAAATAATAAGTAAGACACAAAAGACCATATATTGTATCATTCCATTTATGTGAAAGGTACAGAATAGACCAGTCCATGGAGATGGGAAGTAGATTAGTGGTTATCAGGATTGGGAAATTGGAAGGCAAAGGCTTCTTTAGGAGAGTGATAGAAATGTTCTGAAATTACTTTGCAGTAAGGGTTGCACAACTCTGTGGATATGCTGAAAAATCAGTGAAATGAGTGAATACACTGAAAATCAGTGAAATGGGTAGGTTTTAAGCTATACAAAATATATCTCAGAAAAGTTGTAAAGAAACAGACTATAAAATCCACCTGTCCCATAATGCCCACCCCCACCAACTCTCAACCCCAACATAATTTTGTTCTTCTAGTTGCACTTTATTTCTTTTGTCGTTTGCATTAAAATTATCATGTGCATGTCATCTCTCCTGCTAGACTGCAAACCCCTAGACAAGGAGTCTTGTCTCCTTCATCTTGGTTCCTTACAAAGACCTAAGCACAATTTGCTAATTCATGGAACATCTACTATAACCTGGCTGCCTGCCAGGAACTGGGAAATTGACCCCTGTCCTTGTACGTCTAACCGAGGTACTGGAGGCAGCACTAGCCTTTCCCAAGCGTCATAGTTATGACCTGAGCTGGCAGGTGGTGGAGGAGGGTCACAGAAGTGGAGTTTGGTCCATTCTACTTGGAATGAAAGTTGAAAGAATTTAAACAATGTGGGGGGTGGGGTGCAGAGCAGGTTTCTCTTCTAGTGATAATTTAGTGTCCAATACTTGTAAGCAATTTTTAAGAAATCTTTACTGAAACTAAAAATATGGATTCAAAAATAAAAGGCAAAAATAGAAGAAAGGGGGAAAAAGCCAAACAAAATGCAGAAGTATTATTTGGTCACTAAACCGTGCAAAGATACTTTTTAAAATTAAATTTATTGTTGCTTATACACAAATCTTAAGTCTGTATCTAGGGCTACCCAGTGAAATTCCTCTTCAGTCCCAGTCTCAACCTCCTCCCCACCACCGCATGGCCAAGTCACAGCCGCTCCACCCAAAGAGAAGTGGACCCGGCGCGCGGGGGTCTTTCATTTCCTCGTCACCCACCCACCCTGGAGCACAGCAAGCGGAGGTGGAGGGCGAGACCACTCACTTGAGTTTCTTGAAGGCCTCCTGGCCCCCCGCCACGTAGTTGCCCCCGCTCTCGATCTGGTCCAGCTTCCGGATGCGGTGGCCGGTCCGCGGGGTGTAGATGTTCCTGACCGCCCCGAAGGGCGCCTGGACGCCGCCGGTCACCTCCTTCAGGAAGACGTCGAAGCTGGACACCTTCTTCTCATGGATGACCACGCGGCGTCCCGCGAAGAACGGGTCCCCGTTGCGATACACCAACACGCTCTTCACCACCGGCTGGGACAGGTGGCTGGACCTGGCGCTGCTGCCGCTCATTTTCCCGCGGGACGCCTCCCCAGCTGGCTCCAGGCGGAGGCTCGTTCTCTGCCCCCGCGGCCCCGCCGCGCACCGGAGTGGGTCGCCTCCTGAAAGGACCGGGAAAGCGAGAAACCCCAGGTAGAGGAGAGGGGACGGCTCTGCGCCCCAGCGCACTCGGCGGAGACACTGCAGGCTGCGGGACGGGTGGACCTTCAAGTAGTTCCCCACGGCGTGCACAGCCAATCAGCGCTCGCAGCGAGCGACACCTGTTTCGCAAGCCACCTGCAGAATCCAGGTGTGCCACCTCGGGACGGGCGCTGTCCTGGGGGCTTTACACTCCTGGCCCGAGTTGGGACGGGACGGGAGGGAGGGAGGTGGGAACACACTCGCACAGAGTGTGAATATGACGGGACTCGGCTTCTAGCATCACGTCAACAACTGTTTCCAAACAGCTTACATTTCTTTTCTCTTGCTCCCTCACCTACACTCTCCGGTCCGCTCCCAAAATAAAGCAATTAAAACCGTGGCTGGAGCTGCCTAGACTCCGCTGAAAGTCAAGTATGTGGAACGCGCTAAGAGGGAGGGGGAGCGAGCGCCCAGGCTCGAGCGTGCAGGACCCTCGCCCTCTGGCTGACCAGCGCCTCCGGGTGGCGGAGCTCGCTGGGCAGCGCTGGGGCGAGCCGGAGGGCGGGGCGGCCAGGGTCCCCAGGCGCCCGCCGCGGCTGTACCTACCGACTCCGGGGCCGTGGGGGGCGGGCGCAGGCTGGACGGCCAGGTGACCTCGGCTGCCGCTAGCTAGAGCGGTCCCCGCCGCCGTGGCCTCTGCGCCTCCCTGGCCCTGCCCGCAGCCGCGTTGTTATTTCTCTCCGTTTCCATGGAAACCGCGGCGCGCGCCCAGTGTGGACCAGGCCTGGTGCGCAGTCTCCAGCGGAGCTTCAGGGCTGCTGGGGGCTGGGAGTGCACAAAGGGACGCCTGCTGTATGCCAGGCGCCTTGCTAGGAGCTGGGAAAAGGATTCCGCTGTACGTTGAGCGCCATGCGCCTCACTTTATGCAAGAACCGATGGGGCTTGTCACGAGAAAACCAAAGGGCTGGCAGTGCCCAGAGCCTGCATCCCATCCTTGCGTTTTGCCAAGTCAGCCTGTAGGCGGATGCAGAGAAGAGTTTCGAGAATATTAAGAACCTCAGTAAAGAGTTGTTCAGTCCACTCTGGGATGTACATCCCGTGGGATCAGGAAGACTGCCTTTATAACCTGAAGTCTTGCAGCCAGCTTCCTCCCAAGACCTTGCCAGGTCCAAGTTTCACTGTCCGCCTAAATATAATAGCCCCCGTTCATTGAACACTTAGCCACCTACCAGCATTCTTTCTGCTGGGCACTTTACATAAATTATCTAATTTAGCATTTACAGTAACCTTCAGAAGAAAATACTATTCTTTCTCAGATGAGGAAACTGAAGTGTAGAGAAACCAAAGAAGTTTGCCTCAGGTCACGTTCATGGGTTGAAAGCAATTCTCACTCCAGAATATCCTTAGCCACTGACATACCGATATGTCTGGGGCATTGTGGTCTGAGGCAGAACTGTTTTTATTAAAGTCAAGGAATACATCAATTCCTTGAAAGTTAACGGTTTTCAGAAGAATGCCCAAGAGAAAAGAACAATACAGAAAGAAAACGGGAAAATATGAAGGCTGGCTGGCTGCAGAGATATAGAGGTTGAGGGACAGATGCAGAAAGTAGCTGTGAAAACGTGCCACCACATAGCTAGGAGGACAGGACATCTGTTTTGAGGAATGGAAGGCAGAGGACTAAACACCAATACCCCCAAACACCCAAAACTCACTACCACCTGGGACAGCCCCGTGCAAAATTAATGCATGGTCCTTGTCCAAAACTAAAGAATTCAAGATGGCAACAGCAGAGCATTGAACCAGCACAGCCTCCTTCTGTGTGTAGGACCTGTCACCAGCCCAAGACGCTGCCCACCTCTATATTCTGATGCCTCTCATGATGGTGTCTCCAGCCCACATTTGTCTCCTGAGCTGCTTTTTGCACAGGACTTGGTGATAAGTGCTTAGCTATTGGCTCTCAGTGATGAGGGAAAGGCCTTGATTCATAGCATTTACCAGTTACTGTAGTTGACTCCAGACATGGCCAATTTCAGATTCCAGATTGACATCACCAAAGGCAAGAGCTGTGAAATTGTAGAAGAATACACTTAAGTCACCTGCAGAGCAGAGATAATAGTGACACGTAGGTGGCAATGAACTTGGAATATCTGTCATCTTTAATTGTACTTTATTCAATTTAATTTTTAATAATGACTATGTTCGATATTCCTGAAAACATAATCATCAACTTTCATCAGTAAAGGCAGCTCCAGGCACACAGCTGCTCCTGAATGACTTCTCCAGACCATCTAGAAGGCAGCCTGGACTCCATGACTATTGTAGGACAGACGAGGCAGGGCACCGAAGACAGCAGGAAACAGTTTTATTTGGCTGCAGCCAGGTTCAGAGGGCACAGCTTTTGCTGTAATCAATTAATCCTCCGAACCCCGAGTTCAGGGAGTTTCAAAGTTTTATACCCAGCATGTAAGGGGAGAGGCTCAGAAGTTCACTGTCTGCAGAAGTTCACATAAAAGCAGCTTTTTCTTTCACTGTTGTGGGCAAGTTAACCCTTCAAGGACCACACCTGAGAAGGAGGGAGCTTCTTCTCCCCTTTCTTTCCTCCCCCTGCCAGCTGTTACCATGGAGCCCAATTGGTAACTTATCTTAAAAATGTAGACATCTCTGTGAAGCCCAGCTCAAGGCCAGAGGCCTTGTTTGCTCATTTCTACAAATCTATACTGGATCCGTTTGTGAAAACTAGTAAGGGGGTGTCCAGCACCTAGAGTGCTGGTATCTTCCCTGCCAGTGGCCAGGTAAAACAGGGCGACATGAAAATAGGAAGTTTATCTACATTGAACTCTTTTGCAGAGACTCTTTTGCTGACAGTCCTAAAATGAGCCATGGTGAAGATTTCTGGAGAGACCCAGTTAAGACCTTTCTGTGGAGAAAGGGGTGCCACTCCTTGACCACATAGTCTCATGTGTTCTCAGACCTCCTATTTTCCTATACTCCTTTTCTCCACAAACAGACTCCACTCGTGTGCTCGAAGCTGGAGCATAAGCCTTTCTCATCCTCACACATTTAACACGGAAACAGCCGGCAGCGACAGCAACAACAAAGAGGTCACATATTTGCAATATCTCTCCCTCCCCTGCTGCTTGCTGGACTGGTTCTGGGGCTCTTTTTTCTTTTGCAGAATCGCAGCAGTGAGCAAGAAGAGACGGAGGGAAGATGCCAGAAAAGTTAGGTAAACCCTCCTCACAAGGGACTGAAGAAAAGTGCAAAGCCACTTCCTAGGGGTGCTGGGGACTCAGGCCAGCACACAGACAAAGGCAGGAGAAATTGCGCTTTTACGACTTTCCCTGAGTTTGTGACAGGCATTGAGAATGAGAGGGACGGCCAACAAGGACTCTGAAAGAAGTTCTGCTGCACAAATAATGCCACCAAGGCACTGTTGCCTCCTCAAGAGCCAGAGGAAACCTCCTGAATGCTTTCAAATTCTGTTTTTCTACCCAAATAATAAATGTTTTTTTGTAACACCGTGCTGAGACCAGACCACACCCTAGGTTGACAAGGGTTCTTTAGCCCGTCACCAAGTTCTACCAATTCTACTTCTCAACTGTATCTTGAAAGCATATGAGTCTCCAAACCCATTTCCACTTTCCAAATTCAGGGCACCATCCCCAGTGAGAGCACTGTGTCTTGGGTTTTGTTTCTGTACTGTCCATTCTCTGCACAACAGCCAGCTTGAGAGGTTGGCAGGGAAAGAAAATGGATTCATTTCACTTCTATTTAAGACTCTTCAAGCGCTTATCATTTTTCTTAGATGAAACGCAACATCATCCACATTGACTTCAAAGCCCTGAATATAAAGTCCCTATTGCCTTAATTCCTACTTCTCCTCCTCCAATTCTCCCTAAGCTTTTCCTAGGTTGAAGCTTGTCCTTCCACGTCTTCTCATATCCCTTTGGACATACCTTCTTACCCCCATCTGCCATTGCCATTTATTTGGCTCATCCAATGGGTACTTCAAGTCCCAACTTAAATGTCATTTCCAGAAGAAAGATAAGTACCCCCACATATATTACATATTTTCCTCCATAGATTATACCAATTATAATGGTAAATCTTTGTATATGTTTAATTATAAATCCTTATATATGTTTAATCTCTGTGGAATCATATATGTATGAATTCCCTAAGAGAAAGGATTGTGTTATTACTTAGCAACATCTTACCAGTACCTAGATAGACAATGGTACATAGGAAGCACTAACTAGTTATTTCATGAATGAATTAATGGAAAATTTGTTGTTCAAAAATTAAGTAAAAGCCAGGGCTGAGATTGTGACTCAGTGGTAGAGCAGTAGCCTAACATGTGTGAGGCACTGGATTCAATTCTCAGCACTACATATAAATTAATTAATTAATTAATTAAAGGTCCATTGGCAATTAATAATTTTTTTTTAAGAAATTAAGTAAAAGCTGGGTGCAGTGGCACACACCTGTAATCCCAGCGGCTTGGAAGGCTGAGACAGGAGGATCTCAAGTTCAAAGCCAGGCTCAGCAAAAGTGAGGCACTAAGCAACTTCGTGAGAGCCAGTCTCTAGATAAAATACAAAATAAAATTGTTGCTCAGTGATAAAGTGCCCCTGAGTTCAATCTCTGGTACCAAAAATAAATAAGTAAATAGGTAAAAAAAAAATTCAAAAAAATGCAAAATGCTTCTACAGAAAAAAAGCCTAATTTGAGAATTAAATTAAAAAAAAACTTGACAATTAAAGAAATTCTAAAACTAACTGCTTAGCTCTCAACATAAAAAAAGCCAGCTATATGCAGAAGAGAGCAGCCATGCAGGATACCAAGCTCTCTTGCCCATGTTCAGTTTTGAGCTCTCAAGGCAGAAGACTCTCAAGACAGAAGAGCTGTGTGGGAAACGTGGAGCTGTTCTGCAAAGGTCCATTAAAGAGAGCTGCTGCCTGTGCAGTGGGTTCCCTGAGAGAGCTAGACCTTTGGTTCCGTGGATAAGGACATGGATATTGCTGACCGCTCCTGCTGCCTGTGAGTCCCCGAGTTGAGGTGGCTCTCACAATGGCCAAGTTCTGCATGTCCACACACCATGCTGCCTACCCCAGGCAGCTGCGTTGATGGGGGCAGGTGCAGTGGTAGAGCACTGGCCCACTGTGCACGTAGCCCAGGGTTGTTCCATGCCAGCACCAAGCAGGCAGGTGGGTGGGCGAGGAAGGGCTTCTAGTGGCTGTAAGAGGAAACCCCTCACCTCCTCCAACCACCAAATTATGGTGTACATATTAGGGGATGAGAGGAACCCTGCTCACCCCCTCACACACCAAACCATATAGATTCCACTTACTTGACTTAATCCTTCCTTATCTCTTCATTCTCACTTCAGAGCTTAGGAAAGGTGTTCGTTTTATATGTCACCACATGTCTCAGGAGTTAATAATAATAAAGAGTAGTAGATTACCATTATATACCTCCCATTTATAAACTGAGAGGAGTAATCACAATGCCCTAAGGCAAGTAGCCTTGAGCCTTCTTTTCTACTAAGGCATAAATGGATCCTCAAGGCGTCTGTAAAGAAAATCTCAAGGAAACCCAAACCATGAATCCTATAGCAACCCACAGCTATTTGCATCCTACATAAACTAAATGCCACCTATCTCTAAGTTATGATTTTCTTTCTTTAAAAAAACATGCAATTTCCTGTTGAATGATTTC